TCATTTTAGATTATAAGTTTAATATAAGAAACTAGTACAATATATAAAGTTATTGTTTAAAAATTATTAATGTAGGTTAATTTTTTGACGTGATTGGGTTTCGGCCATTGTGAAGCCCATGGACTATAACTATTTTCTTGGGTAAACACTGTTGTATAGAAAAATGTTGGTCCATCATTTTCATCGCACATTTCTTCTTCTTTTTCCTAAGACATAATTATAAATTTAATAATAATAAAGGTTATGACAATCTATATTCATTAAACTCACATTAATTTGAAGCATGTCTTTAGACCATGACTTGACCCAACCATCAACTATTACATTGTATGCTAAATTCTTCAGCTCTCTTATGTAATTACTGTCACCCTTAGGAAAAATATCGCATATTTCTTTATCGTTTAAACTTCTTATAAATTTAACCATTTCATCATTGTTTGAATGTTGAATTTATCGTCAACGTATTGTATGATGTGGTCTATTTGATGGCTTAATAGTAAACGTGTTTGTATTTTTCTTGATATTGTACTGTTAATTGTACACTGTAAGTCCATAAGTATATTAATGTTTTCGTTATTTAATAACACTCGACACCCATCGAACATCCTGGATTCTAATACTAAATGCATGGTATCACGGTACAATACTTTGGTTATATTAAAATCGACATTTTGGTATAACACAATGTTTCTTTCCTTTTACCGAAAGTGATTGTAGAAATAATGTTATTTCATCCATCATGCCGCAAATAATATTTAAATAATCTGCTGTCATACTAATATATCGTGAAGGAGTAATAATGCATACCGTAACATTGAAGTCATCCTTTTGGATTCAGGCCCACTTGCAAACATTTTCTGTCGCTGAATGCAATAGTGTAACTGCTAGAGTCAATCATCTCGGCTGGCGGTGTTGGTGCGATATAAATGTAGCGCTGTTTTCTTACAAGTTCGGGAGCCATATTGTTCATAGAATAGAGTCTTCTTCTTAGAGCTGATGGTTCTTGATGACACTGTGACTTTATCAACGATTTCATGCTCATTTATGCAGAAAAATCGCATTTTTTCATAGGGGTCAGCAAATCACAGGACACATATCCCCGTATACTAACCCTTTCCTTCACCACATAAGTAATTTCACTTTAATATCATAATAATTAATTTTAAACTCTCGATTTATAAATATTTTTATACAAATATATGTAATAGAGTATGTGTATACATATGTTTTATTCAATAACGATTACACATTAACAAAAAATGTCTATTAACAAACGCGGTAGTGTGACTGAATAATCATAAAAGAATTTGATAAAATATTATTTCTAACGCATAAATATTTTATCTATGAAATAGTATAATATTGTACATATTTATTTATTTAATTTAATATCATAATAATGATCGCCTTATGATGAGTTTCATCATCACCTTCCCTTCTATGTAGAGGTAAACCGCTGATCCACCGTTTTAATACATACGTTAGTCAAGGAAGGGAGGCTCTCTATGATCAAAGGCATACACGTCACATAGCTAAAGTTGGGTTTTGTTGGATTAATAGCCGCCATCGCCGCTTGATTACACCTTTCACTTTTCTGCATTCAAATATTTTCATATAATTCTAAAATTATATATACTATATGATGTTCCATCTATCTCGGTATACTATGAATATAACAGGGTATACATTACATGATAACTGTACAAGTCCGCCTTTGTCCGAAAAAGTAAATGAGCATAAATAACACTTAAATCGTATACCGTCGTGGATTTTCCTATGCAACAGTTAAAACAGTTTTTTGACAACGTACACTTTTTCACACTTGTCTCAAGAAAACATTTTTAAGACGTTTCAATGACACAACACTATTAATTTTAACCTATCTTTTATGCGAAAATACTCATTTATGCGGAAAAATCACATATTTTCATAGGGGGGTCAGCTAATTACAGATCACATATCCTTGTAAACTAACCCATTCCTTCACCACTTAAATATTTTTAACTCATAATTACTTATTAATTACAATTTAATAAGTAATTTCTAAAAAGTATACATTTTTTCATAGCCCCTCTTCTTATGTACCCTCGTATGTAGATTAACTTCCCATACTTGTGATATCTACTGTCATGAGAGAGCACCTGCATTATACTCATAAACTTTCATAGGAAGGGGTCATATGACGATCACAATATCTCCCCAGCCTTTTACACCGCCCGTCCACCTAGGGAGAGGAAACGGCCGAGGGCGTTTTGGGAGGGTCTTTATTCATCCTTTATATATCTACTTATGTGATCAATTATGGGTAATTTCGATGACGATGGTTGACATTTCCAGGGGTGATACAAGTAATTGCGAGGGGGAAGCTATAGAACAAGGGTTAAGTTTTTCAAGTTTTCTATAACCAAGTTCTTGTGCAAAGAATACAATGAATTCATGTATACTAGGTGGATTTAAAGGTTCTCTGGGGTCGTTCAGCTTCCTCCACGCAATGGTCAAAGTTGAATCCAGACAATGGAAAGTGGCTACATTTCAATCTTCAAACCAATATTTAAGGCGTAAACATTTTAAATATAAGAGCATATTTTTATTTCGACTCAGGGGAGTGTAATATGGGTGGTATGTTGTCGTCTATGCAATGTAAAATTAAAACGTTTTTGTATCGCATTCTTATATACACACACACAAACACACACACACACACACCGTTTACCTTAATATTGCTTGCTCGTCCATCATAGTAAAAATCAAAGGTTTGTGAATATCTACAACCAAACCATAAGCGCGACAAGATGTCATAGGGGTTTTGACGTGTGCTTTTCTGCCTTACTGAATACCGCATTTTGTGTAGTATTTATAGTAATTTGGACAAGTAGTAGAAGAAAAGTTGATGTATTCAACATTTGACTAATATATTATTAGTTACTTTATATAATTTTCATATTATTTAGTACTAACTATAATTAGTGTTTTCAGTATAAACAATTTTTGTTTTATCACTTTGATCACTTATACTGGTTTATATTATACCACTTAATTTTTCCAAAAACAACGACAACTCTGATATCTCGACTACTGTTCATCGTTTAGGCAAAATAGTGTCTCTTTATTTATCCGAACAACCAATCATTCGACTGCTACAGCTTGTTAAAGTTAAATATTATTCCAGACAAAATTTCTAATGTTATTAAATTGTTTTTTTGAAACAAAATGAATTTCGTTACAATTCTACGGTGTAACATAAACAAATTTCAAACTCGTGAAATTAAAAAATTCCTGTTATTTTCTGAACCCAACTCGTATGTAGCTTTATAACGAATTACTGATATTTAGGGACTGTTCATTATTACTAAAAGTGATGAAGATTTGACGTTATATCATGGAAGAAAACACATCTAATTTCACGAGGCGCCTTCGTGACGAATTTACATAACTTTTCATACACTCTTTAATCACAATTCATAGACAAATAAATAATTTAATAAGGACTAATCGGGATTGTTAATTTGTAGTCTACAGGGTGATTTTTTTATCATAACCCACTCAATTACTTACAGAATAATAATAATTTAAACATTTTTTTTTTTATTATCTTTAGTTACACATTATTCTTTAATTTTTAACTATGTAATACTTTTTAAGTTCATCCCTTATGCCTTGGAGGGGGTTAAACTTTGTTTTTTTAAATGGTAACACATATTTTTAATTTAATAAAATGTTTGAGTTTTTAATTTAATAGTAAATGGCATTTGAATTTTTAATATAACTTTATTAGCTTATTAGATATAAACATTTAAAGTTTCAAAATTTTGAGTTAATATACATGTATAATACACATGGGATTGTAAATACAGGTAGCTAATTGGATTTTTATGACATTGCTGTCTCAGTCACGGATTGTTTATTATCAATTATGATTATCAATAGATATACTTTCTGTATTGTCAGTTAGTGTATTTATAAACTCATAACAATGTGCCTTACTACAATTGATAATAACAATGCTGTGTACCTGCTAATATCGATGTTATAAAAAACCAATTAGCTACCTGTATTTGTAATCCCTTGTGTATTATACCTGTATATTAATTCAAAAATTTGAAACTTTAAATGATTATATCTAATAAACAAATTAAGTTATATTAAAAATTCAAATGTCATTTACTATTAAATTAAAAACTCAAACATTTTATTAAATTAAAAATATGTTTTACCATTTAAAAAAACAAAGTTGACTCCCTTCCAAGGCATAAGGGATGAACTTAAAAAGTATTACATAGTTAAAAATTCAAGAATAATGTGTAACTAAAGATAATAAAAAAAAAAAATGTTTAAATTATTATTATTCTGCAAGTAATTGAGTGGGTTATGATAAAAAAATCACCCTGTATATTGTCAAAATCTCCGAGTTTATTCATTGGACATCCTTGATTCAATCCTTCAAAATTCGAAAATATTAATTCTTTATGAGACCTGGGCACATAAAAACGAGAGTACTATAATCCTTAATTTTACTTGTATCATTAAATATAAACGGCCAAATGTGAAACCTGGAGAAGTAGGTATTTATCATCGTAATGACGATATAGTTAATATAATCCCCTAAAAAATGTAAATCAATGCATTGAGATGACAATAGGACAATCACAGTTGTATAATTCAAGAATTACTCCAGTCGGTTATTTTTGTGCTGCTGAGTGTGTAAGACAAAATGAGCAAATAATCATCATTTCATCAATTTATATTTCACCAAATCAAAAAAAAGATGATTTAGTTTATTTTTCAAATAGATATTTGCTTGAAATGCTATCAATAAATTTATTACAATCGATTTTAATAAGTTAATTTATTTAAAATATTATGTTAATAACCAAAACAAATGAGTAGAAGAAAAAAATAATAATTACAATTAAAAACTAATTACGACAACCGTTTTCGACAGCATACTAAAATATACCAATATAACCGTTTCGTAAAGCTTTATTATCGGTATATCTACTTCAAAGACAATTATTTTCATGGCCATATATCAAACAAAGAAATTGACCATTTGCAGCGGCCAGTCTTGTTGTACCATCATCCCACTCGCACCCGTTTTCGTGAGCATATATTAAGCAATCTAAATTACCGTGTGCAGCAGCTGTAACTATTGTACCTTCATCCCATTCACAACCATTTTCATGAGCAAATATCAAACATTCAATACAACCGCTCGCGGCGGCTTCCCTCGTGGTGCCTTCATCCCATTCGCAACCATTATTATAAGCATATTTTAGGCACTCTAAATGTCCATTCGAAATGGCACCTCTAATCACACCTTCAACCCAATCGCATCCGTGTTCATAGGCATATTTTAGGCAATCTAAATTACCGTGCAAGGCTGCCGCAAGTATTGTTTCTTCGTCCCATTCGTAGCTGATTTCATGGGCATATTTTAAACATTCTAAATGCCCGTTAGCAGCGAGTAACCTTGATGTTTTTTTATTCCATTTATAACCGTTTTCATGAGCCCATTTCAATATTTCTAGCATACCTTCTAAAATAGTAACTTTATATGTGTCTTCGTCCATTGGACGTCCAATTTCGTGAGCGTATTTTAAAATATTTAAATCTCCTCTATAAGCAGCCGATTCCGTTATTCCTTTATGCCATTCGCATCCATTTTCATGTGCATACTGTAAGCATTTTAATTTACCGTAATCTGCAGCCGCTTTTGTTGTGTTTACATCCCATTGACATCCATTTTCGTGAGCATATATTAAGCAGTCTAAATGGCCGCCTATTGCAGCAACTATAGTTGTTTCATCATCCCATTCCCATCCATTTTCGTGAATATATTTCAAGCAATCTAAATGTCCATTTTTCGCAGCGATTCTAGTCGTGATATTATCCCATTTGCATCCATTTTCGTGTGCATATTTTAAGCAATCTAAATATCCATATGCGATAGTAAAAACCATTGTACGTTCGGTCCAATTGCATCCATTTTTATGAGCGTATTTTAATATTTCTAAATTACCATTAATAGCAGCTTCTTCCATTATTGTTTCATCCAATTTGCATCCGTTTTCATGAGCATAAATTAAGCAGTCTAAATGACCGCCTTGAGCAGCAGCTTTTGTTGTTTCTTCATTCCATCTACATCCATTCTTATGTGCATACTTCAAACATTCTAAATGCCCATTTGCAGCAGCAGCCTGTGTGGTTTTCTCATTCCATTTACATGCATTTTCGTGTGCATATTTTAAACATTCGAAATGACCATTTGCAGCAGCTTCCTTTGTTGTATTTTCATCCCATTTACATCCACTTTGGTAAGCTAATTTTAATGTTTCTAAGTCACCAGTTGATGCAGCTTTACTCGTAGTACCTTTTTCAAATGGACACATTTTTTCGTTTTTTGAATAACTATTTATAAGTCCTAAATAAGCAGAACAATGAGTTAATTTTTTATTTATTAAAATTATATTTAGATTACTAAATAATATCTAATTAAGAGAGTGAAAGTTCACTTGATATTATCATTTTTTTTATTATTTACATCTTACAAAATTAATTTCCAATGTAAATATCCTTATGAATTATTATGTGCATTATAGTTTTGTAGTTTATTTATTTTGTTTTGGATTTTTTAACATTGACTTGTTTATTATTTTTAGCCTTGAGGCGATGCTTTGAAGGTATTAATTTTACTATGATGTGTTATTTTTGTGTCTGTTACCACTATTTCTCTGTTCTCACGGAACCGATTTCTTTCAACGATATGTCAAAAGATCACAAATTGTATCTTGTTAAAAACATTGCCCTTGAAAATTGAAAAATTTACCTCGTTTCCCGTTAATGTGGTATATCTTCTAAAGAATAAAAAATTTTAAAAATCGCTAATTTTCCACATTATTTCAATCTTTTTTACTTATAATTGCCATAACTTTTTTAAAAATGACCAAAAATCTATATTATATTTTTATAGATGCATGATATCTTTACTTATCATTTGGCATATTTTTTTTATAAATCTGACTCTTAACTTGCCCACAAGATGGGACTAAAAATAACAACATTTTAAACTTAAATTTTGAAAGTGTTCCAGAAAGTCTGGAACTTTTCGTCTTGGAAAGACGAAAAACAAAAGTCTTGGAACTCATGTAGGGATTAACAAAGATGTTAAATAACATGTCACAATGAATGCGTTTATATATGTTTATATGTTTTATCTTAGATGTACTGCAGTACGATAACACTCCGTGTATTTTTTTTATTCTCGCGCTGTTCGTCAATCCAGTGACACTTTTTNGCGAAATGGACTCGTGCGTGTTTAGCGTGTCAAAAGTCAAAAATAACGCGACATGTTATAAGTCCGTGTGGTATTTTTAATGTGCCGAGTGATCGTTTTTCGCATGTACACATCGATATAATCGGTCCTATGGTCATGTCACGTGGTTGTACTTACTGTTTAACCGCTATAGACAGATTTTCTAGATGGCCAGAAGTTTTTCCAATTCAGGATATTTCGGCTGAAACCATAGCTCGTACGTTATTTGAAGGCTGGATAGCTCGATATGGAGTTATGGAGAGATTGACAACAGATCAAGGACGGCAATTTGAGTCTACTCTGTTCACCGCAGTAACGCAAATTTTAGGGTTTAGAAGAATACGTACATCAGCATATCATCCACCAGCCAATGGTTTAGTTGAACGATTCCACCGATCACTTAAAACGGCAATAAAGTGTTACGAAACTGAGCACTGGACAGATGTACTCCCCTCAGTTCTTATGGGCCTTAGATCAGTGATTAAAGAAGATCTAGGTTTAACACCTGCAGAAATTGTATTTGGAAGTACGATTAGATTACCTAATGAGTTTTTTATGCAGTCATCAGTGGCGACAGACCCTTGTTCCTTTGCTGAAACACTAAAGAAAACAATGGAAACCATACGCCCAGTGTCAACTTCAAACCACGGAAGTAAAAAAGTTTTTATATATAAAGATCTAGCATCCTGTTCACACGTTTTCGTTCGGGTCGACCGGGTCAAGAAACCGCTAGAACAACCATATGAAGGGCCGTACAAAATTGTTCAACGATACGAAAAAACCTTTAAATTATTAATTAGGCAAAAAGAATGTATCATATCAATAGACAGACTGAAGCCATGTTTCAACGAAAATGAAGATAATAACACAAATCTATCAATAACAACGAACCAGCACAACCAGAGAAATACAACTACAAGACCAACAATAATACAAACAAAACAAACCAAGTCAGGAAGAACCATCCGCCTCCCCGTAAGGTTTTTGTAAATTGTGAATTGTATCACTTTTATATTTGTATTTGTATTTTTATATTTGATATTTGTAACTATGTATGTTTAACGTAAAATTATCGTTTTCACTGGAAAGGGGGTAATGTAGGGATTAACAAAGATGTTAAATAACATGTCACAATGAATGCGTTTATATATGTTTATATGTTTTATCTTAGATGTACTGCAGTACGATAACACTCCGTGTATTTTTTTTATTCTCGCGCTGTTCGTCAATCCAGTGACACTTTTTTATTTTGTACTCTTTTTTTATGTATGTATAAAATCATTTTTCATTATTAAAAAGTATTAATTATTATAAATTTTAATTGTAGTATTTTGTAATAAATATAAACACCAAAACACTACACTCAACACTGCAACTTTTTATTTATCTTAAATTAAAGCTAATGTAATATACTTTATTGTAGAAAAAAAAAATTTCAGACTTCATTTTGTCTTCATGGTGAAAATAGTTATTGAATGCTATTTTTGTGTAAAAATTCTCGATTTTATATTTTACATTTTTAACTTCATGATGCTATAACATTTGAAAAATGTATGGATCAATACAATTTTTTCATGAAAATTAGTATTTATATCCTTTTTTAATTCCACATACTTTTTATTAAAATAACATCATTTTTCTTTATATATTTATATATTATAAATATATATTTATTCATATATTACACTTAATCATAAAATTTGTAATCAGGATAATAATAATTAAATAGGAGATCATGTAGCTTTTGGAATAATCCACCAATTTTTAAAATTACACACTATCTACAGATTTGCATCGAAGCTTTTTTTATGGTAGTGATTTTAATCACTGTCAGATATCATTATTGTGATGGTGTCACGTTACCATTATCGTGAGAATTATTTTAATAAAATACAGACAGCACATCCGCTGCCTGAGACTGATGAATTAACAAATAATATTTATTGCCAATTTGGCAATAGTTTTAATTATTATAAAAACCCAAAAGACCTGACCATCATGGTCAGTCGACTCCAGTGCCTTGTATCATTCATCAGTCTCAGTACTCGGTTGTCGCTGTCCGGCTTACTGCTTAAAGTAAAGTCTTTGTTTATTCCTTTTTAAACCTATCTGTTCTCTTCCACAACATTTCAGAGTACTTGTGTCTTGCACTTCGTCTGCACCTCATACCTAGGTGTTACCCTGATTCCCTTCCTATAACAACAGCCTTTCGACACCCACAGCTAACCCGGAGTGTCAGCCGAGCACGGTGACTGCTGTACGACAACACGCACTTGAATACCTAGACAGCAGGCACCACATCCTCATATTCATCTTCGTACACATCATTCAATTACATTCACATATCCACTTTTATTTTATTGTGTTACGACATTATACTTGACCAAACTATGCCGCGTCATCACTGTGCCACGACCCCCCTGTGCTGGGTTTTTTAAGTAGGATATTACTATTTAAATTTAAGTAATCTGAATTCTCAGGACGTTCCTTGGTAGAGTGTCTACTAAACATGTCTCTCCAAATGAAATTGTAAATGTGATTCAAAAATTAAAGTCCAATAAATCACCTGGATATGACTTGATAACAAATAAGATTTTAAAACATCTCCCTAAAAAAACAATTATTTTAATAACTTTCATATTTAACTCTATGTTAAGACTCTCGTATTTCCCTACCATTTGGAAACAGTCCATTATTATTCTTATTCTCAAACCGGACAAACCCCCCAATATAGCAACCTCATATAGACCAATTAGTCTGCTTCCAGTGCTTGGTAAGCTATTTGAGAAAATCATTTTGAAAAGATTAAGACCAATCTTAGAATCTCATAAAGTAATACCCAACGCTCAATTCGGGTTCCGTTCAAATCATTCCACTATACAACAAATACACAGGCTAGTCGATATAATATCATCATCCTTTGAAAATAAAGAATATTGTCCGGGAGTCTTTCTCGATGTGGCTCAGGCCTTTGATAGGGTTTGGCATCCTGGCCTACTCTATAAAATTAAATCATTCCTCCCTGCTCCCCTATACCTTCTTATTCGCTCATACCTAGAAAACAGAACCTTTAAAGTTCGTTATGGTAATTCTTATTCCTCTCTTTTTCCCATCCTAGCAGGAGTTCCACAAGGGAATACCTCTTTGGCTACCTACGCTGATGACACAGCCATTTTATCTTCCAATAAAGACCCAATCGCAGCTTATAATGCTCTTCAACTCCACCTCGACTTTATAGATAAATGGTCCACAAATTGGAAAATTAAAATCAATGCAGACAAATCAGTAAATGTTCCTTTCACTCTCAATAAAAAAAATATACCTGTTCTTTCCTTCCAAGGAGTTCCTATCCCTTCTTCGACTCAAGTCAAATATCTTGGTATTACACTTGATAAAAGATTAACCTGGGGTCCTCATCTCAAATCCAAAAGAAAGCTATTAAACATTAGATTCCACTTATTACGTTCTGTATTAAAATCAAAACTTCCTGTACATAACAAAATAATCATTTATAAGTCAATGCTAAGACCAATTTGGTCTTACGGAGCTCAAATATGGGGTTGTGCCAAAACATCGCAGTTTAAAACAATTGAAGCCTTCCAAGCAATTTCCCTTCGTACAATCACGTCCGCTCCTTGGTATGTCTCCAATCTTACCCTACATAAAGATTTAAACATTGAACCAGTCGATATTTTAGTTAAATTATACTACAAAAAGTTTCATTCCAAATTACTTCTACATCCAAATCCATTAATTGCTAACCAACATACAGTTACAATTCCGGACAACCCTCCTCGCCGTCTAAAAAGACGCTGGTGCCGTGACCTTTTAAATTAATATTGTGATAGCAATGAACCAATTCAAGTCAAAAGGGTCCCATCACTGGATAGCTTCCCTTTTTTCCGTTTTTAAGTCAAATGTGTTATATTCTATTGTTCACCTATTTGCTTATTGTATCTTTCTTATGTACAGATTGTAAATTTTATTATTTTATAAATAATAAAAAAAAAAACCTATCTTTACTTTAAACGGATCTATATTATTAAATTCATTATATTATTAAGTGATAACATTATG